GTCAAACTAAGTTCCTTTATTCAAAGGCTATACAAATCAAACAACTATCTGGAAAAGTACGCCTTAAACTTACTTTGCAGCTCTCATATACGCTTTAATGTAGCTTGGATCAAGTGAAGCAGCCATCTCACAGTCACTTATAGCCTCCCTCAATCTTCCAAGAGAAATCCTTGCTGCTGCGCGGTTGCCATAGCAAAGGGCAAGAGGCTTCATAGAGTACTCTGAATCATCACTTGATGGGGAGGAATTAATACCATATGTGTAACATTCCTCAGCTTTACACATATCACCATTTTTGTAGGCTTGATTTCCCCTGGTACAAAACATCACTTATCTTAATTCTCCGAAAGAAAGTATTTAAAAAGCGAAATGTTAAAGCTCCTGTGTTGGTATTTAATACCTTAGTCGCCAAACCTCACATACACCAGGCATCACAGATGTAGAGCCTGACTCCTGTTTGGCTTGACCTGTATTTACAGGTTGATTCTCTTGATTGTTTTTCTGAAAAATGTTATTGACCTTCCTCCTATATTTCTTAACAGCTTGAAGCTTTCTATATGGTATTTTTTCTTGAGACGCGGACGCTGAGAAAGAAAAATTCGGCATACAACTACTTCCATGACCATCTGTCGACATTCCATGACCCTCTGCCGTGACAACAGATGGATCCCTGGCTGAGGCAACCTTAAAATCATTACTGGAGCTAGAATTTACATGTTCTCTCAAATGTAAGGGATCGATTGATGTCAGAGGAGGTCCTGTTGGAAATTGATTGCTGGCTTTCTCACCATTATAAGGAGAAAAATCCATGGGTGAACAATATCCAGGGGAACTGAGTTGTTCATTAGACTCAACTCCCTCAGAAGCATGATCATTGCATCGATTCGGCTCATGCTGTTTCATTTTTTCTTTGATTTTCTTTGATTTCTTGTCCTTGGATGACCGATTTCTTCGCGTGTGGCCTTGATTTCTGCTCACTTCTGGAAACAAACTGTTCTTAAGCGAAGAAGGATCCCATTCAGGTGCTTTGAAATCGTCAAATGATGTTCTTGTACCAAAGGTATTGCATGTTAAGTTGTTTATATTGGTGGTATTGGAATGAAAAGTGGGTCTTTTATCCGCTGTATTATCACTTTGGTGAAAACCATTGGAACTGAAAGAGCATGGCCCTGATGTTGCTGCACCGTTATATTTAGCATCAACCTTTCCAGAGCTACCAAAGATAAATGCAGGTGCGTTATTGGATTTATTTCCTTCTGCATAGCCGTTGCCACCATGATCACTGGTATCACTGATATTAAGCTTCCTCATCTCAGCAGGCAGGTTCAATTCAGAATCATCTATAGTTTTACCACTACCAAACCCAACTCCACTTTGCGTTTCACAAGACGCGCTCTCACTACACGGTCTAATGTTTTCTGCTTTATCATTATCTCGCTTTCTTAAAACCTCGTCTGAATGTTCTTTTGTAGATTCCGAACCCAAGTCATAATCACCTATAGGAGTGCCAAATTCCTCCTCATCAGACAAAGACGTTACTGAGACCTTACCTGCACTGGTAGCTTCTGCACTAGAACTGTTCCCATTAGCCCCAAAGACAAAACCTTTATCCCCAGGTGACTCGCTATCATTTCTATCATTCACTCTGTTCATATGGAGACTACCTACAAATACAAAAACAAAAACAAAACCCTTCAGCTCACAAAGTACCAAAGACAAGAACTTTAAGCAATGTAACACAAATTACCTTTACTAGACGGCGCAAACGGGTTGAAACCCGACAAGATCTCGCCGGAGAAAGATGTCCCTTTCACCTTTCTACCGTTCTTCCTCAGTTTAACCAGCCTCGGCTTCGTTCGACTCTTCGTGTTCTGCCCTGAACCAGCTCCAAACCCGAATTGAATTCCATTTCCGATCCCAGAATCTGTAGAGAACGACGACGAAGGATCCATGCCTCGTTGATCGTGAGAGCGAACACTTTCCGGGAAAAATGCCGAGAATGAAGGGATAGTTTCAACCGGAGACCCAATCTCCACCGCCGCAGGAGACATTCGATACTTTGTCAAAATCAAAATCGAAAATTTAGGGCTTTAGAAAGGAATCAATCGGTACAACGAATCTCTCTCTCTCTTGCGTGTTTAAGGTGAAGTATTAGGTGAATGAATGTATGTAGTTGTCTCTAAGACACAGAGTGAGGACCGTTAGGGTTTTCGGATTGCTTACCAGAGATGAAGAAGAAGAGATCAAC